CATCGCTCCTGAGCTTGGAGGAGGTGATCCTTGAATATTACCCAGCTTTCTTGGGCCCCTCTTCCCTCCAGGGCTTGGTCCCATGGCACTCTACCAAGCAGATCCCTGAAGAGGCCAAAGTCTGCTCTCCTGAAGTCCAGGGTAGTGAGCTTGCTGTGCGCCCTCCTTGGTGCCCTAAGGATCTTGAATTCCACCATTTCATGGTCACTGCAGCCCAGGCTGCCCTCGAGCTTCACATTCCCCACCAGCCCCTCCTTGTTGGTGAGAGCAAGGTCCAGTGTAGCACCTCTCCTCATTGGCTCCTCTATCACTTGCAGAAGGAAGTTATTATTGATGTATTCCAGGAACTTCCCAGATTGCTTATGCCCTGCCGTGTTGTCCCTTCAACAGATATCGGGATGGTTGAAGATTTCTTGTGTTCTGTGTAGTGTTAGAGTCCATTTACTCACGGTTCTGTACCCAGCTTCCTGACCCTAGACAGCAATACCGTCAAGCTAATGGTAGGGTTTCTGCTGAAACTTCACAAGCTTGCTGGCTGAGAGGGAATAACAACCTTGCTGTGCAGAAATAACTGAAGCCCACAAAGAATAGCAGGAACCTTTGGTAGGGGTGATCCATGAGCTTGTTTCCGCAGTTGGTCTATGTGAGCTGACATGTGCAGTTCCTGTTTGGTTGGGTTAGTCTTGCCGTTTGGGACAAGCCGTAATAAAAGGTAGTTTCTAAAAAGGGACTCCGACTGTTTTAGGGCATGGAAAAAACCTCTCAAACATAAAAGTGGTGATAGCTTACTGAACTTCACCTCGCCTCATCAGGTAATAGAGGGGTGTGATGGAAGTCTCTAAAAACAATGAATGATTGACAGGGGATCATGAAATAACCACATACCTTTAAGTCTGTGAACAAAAATACGTTATCTTTTATGAATACGTGGGGAAACTTGTAAACTGACAAAAAACTGTCATGTAAGAGTATGACTTAAAATACAGAATTTATTGCTGTAGGATTTTATTGAGGCCAAAAATGCATAAAACCGTGAAAAATGAGGGGATATTTTACATGGGTAACTAAATGTTAATAGTTCTTCCAAATTTACATTAAGCATTCTGCTTCAAGGCTTAAGGCAGTCCCCAACTCTGGGAGATTATGGGGTTTCTTGCACCTTTCTCTGAAGCATCTGACATTAGCCTCTGTAGAAGACAGGATATTGGATTAAAAAACAAAGCCCAGTCTCATCTGCTATGCCAGTTTCTGTGTTCAAATACTCACTGTCGATAGTGGCTTCTGCAAAATGATAACATTCTCTTTTCAGTTGTTAAAGAAACCCAAGGCCTAGCATCTGCATTGAAAGTTTTAAGAGCAAATTAGTCATTCTCGAGAATTTCTCCCTTAGCGGTATTACTGAGTTCCTCGATTGAACCATGCTTGGACTCTGCTGCCCGGCTGATCAGACGTGGCTTTGAGTATCCGAAGCTTCAGTGTGCTCTGCGTTGGCATCCCACTACCAAGAAAATGGTGCCGCTTCACTGCGCAAATGGATGCCCGGAGTCCCTTTCTCTGTGCCAGAGATTTGTAATAAATGCAGGTCTAAAAAAAGGTGGATCTTCATTCTTTATGGAAAAAAGATAGTGTATTTGAGAAGCTTGCGTGTTTTTTGCTATCCCTTTAACATTTATGGAGATCTTGGGTATTAGGCTTTTAAGCTGCTTTGTTGAAACTCATTTGACAAGGACTTACACAGATGGTGCTTTACTTTCTGTCTGAAATGTGGCGCTTCTTAATTTCCCTTGGGTCATCTCTGTGAATCTGGCTAGAATTTCTTCAATGGATATTTGTCTCCCGTATCTCTGACTTGTTTATCTGAAATAAAATTTAGTCTGATAGGAGCAATATGTGGGTGTCTTTAACTGCAGGCAGAGCTAGCACACTCAATCATTCTGTTTCAGCCCTGGTATATTCAATAATTACTGTATGTACTATTAATGCATCTGGTCTAATATACAAAAGCAATAAAATACTGAAATCTGCTTCTCTTCAAAGCAGACTTTTTTCTATGCTGACAGTATATTTCTGAAGACGTAGGAAAATATGATTAATTAAAAATGTAGTGCATGACTAGACAAGGAGTTTTATGAGATGCTGATCTGTCCTTGACCTGGCTTAATGCCTAGTATTAATGTTGGCTATGAAAACCTGCTGTATGGACACTGGCATCCCAAAAGATGCCATGGCACCTGAAAGCTCCAAGTACATCTTGGGTTGGATTGTGGTGCACACACAGGCAGCAGTTAAAAGATAGCATTCATTAATCTCATCGACTTTGATCTATCTGCCAGGCTGTGTGTTACAAATAGACAGCTACTTAAAATGTTAAACTCTTTGCTTTATAACATCTATTAGTGAAAGCCGCCACTGACGGGTTTCTTAAATGCTGTGGTCCAGCGGCTGGGGTGTCTGTATGGGCTGCTTGCTCGTGTGTTGGAGAACACTGCTGCTAGGAGCATCACCTGGTAGAGTTTCAAGCCAAATGAATACCCCCAAAAAGAAGCAGGAGGAGGTAAAAAATGACAATGACAGGTCTAAACAGAGGCATGCTACGCTGAAGAGGTTAGATCTGTGACCTGCCTCTTAAGTCCCTTTGCTGACGTACTGCTAGAGATGACGTCTCTGAGAGTAGGCAGCAGAGCTGGTTGGGTGAGTGTCTGCTGACCTACTTCAGCCAGAATGACCCACGTTAGCTTAACCTGGTTACGGAGTAGCCCTGTTCACCTTGCTCGCTTACGGCTGCAGTGGGTTAGCAGGTTTGAGGGGGCAGTAATCCCCAGCAATAAGCAGCTGAGGGTGGTGATATGTTTCTTTGGTATAGCTGGATCAGGAAGAGTAAGTGTGCTCCCAGCCTAAGAAACGGAACAGGCTGTTAATACTAAATCTGTTTTCAGTAATCCAGTTTTTGCAGAAGTGAGTCTGACCCACCTATAGAAAATATGCGCATGCAGAAGTATCTGGTCATCTTGCAGTCGTCTTGTTGAAAACCAAAGTCTTGCCTTAACAACC